CTTCTCCTCGGCTTTTCAGGAACTGGGTCTCATTTTCTCATGAGAATGACAAGGATTGTATAGGTTTGGGCCCCCTCAAGGCTCCCTTCCCCCACCACACACACTGCCCATGGCTTTTAGAGTCAAGAACTTGGATCTGATCTGACGTACCCAAGGCAGGGCTACCACTAAATTACTGTGGGAGATTTCGGGCCAGTCCTGCTATACGCAAAATACCATACCTGTTGGCTTGTTGGGAGTTAACAAAGCTGCAGTATTGGGGGGTGGATAGGAAGGGAGAGGGACTCAGTAGGGCTTTATTAACATTAATTATGTTCCAAAACTAACTGCTTCCTTAAGGATTACTGAAAAGAGGGGTCCCAGCCTGTTCCTCGTCCTGCCCCCTGCCCAGCGGTAAAGAGGTGTCATTAGAGAAGCGGGATGGTGTATGAATCCCTTTCACCGCCACTGAAGGGAGCATTAAATAGAGCCTGCACCACTTTCCATGATCCACCCAACACCTACATTGTCCCAGGAGCCTGCATCAGGACTAGAAGCCTCCTCGGTCTCAGATTTTTAGCAGCTAAGCCGGAGCCTTTGTTCTCTCCTGTTTTCTGAAGAGTTGTCCCAGGTGTTGGAAATGCATTGGCAGCCTGAGTCCTCTAAGGATGTTCAAGCTAAGTCCTAGCCCTGCCCTTCCCACGCCTGGTGCTGATGACAGTGACTCTGTTCTGTTGGCACTGAAGCACAATGCACCCTTTTTTTTTTCCACAATGCAATTTTAACACATGGTGCCTAGAACTTGTAATACTGAATGCTGCAATTTGACTCGCAGCCAAACATTTCCAGCCTCTGGCTAGGTCATCAGGGAACCCAGAAACCAAATGTCCTCCAGCCTCCACTCCCCACCTCGTCTCTCAGGAAAGGAGGTGCATAAAGCAAGCATTTGATTGGCCTCCTTCTCAGCATCCCCTTTGTACACTTGAGGACTACATTTCCACCTGGTTCCAATGAACCAGGTTCTCTGAGAGTCAGAATGTTGGTTTCAAGTGGCTGAGCAATAAGCTGGCTTTCTTTTTTTCATCTTTCATGACCAGCCCAATAAAAGCATCAGTTAGCTCTTCTCTTGCTAATTGACACCTAACGTGGCCCGTTGGTCTTGACCAGAGAGAGGCCAGCTCAGAGGAGCCGGAGCTGGAGATGCAAGGGCCTTTCTAATGAGGATTTAAGTGGGGGGCACTGGAAAGACAAAAAGAAGGATGGAGAATAATGACTTGGCTCTTGTGGGCTGGTGGCAAGCAGTGATGCCCTTAAATCAGCCACCTTACAGCTCTTCTCTTGCTAATTGACACCTAACGTGGCCCGTTGGTCTTGACCAGAGAGAGGCCAGTTCAGAGGAGCCGGAGCTGGAGATGCAAGGGCCTTTCTAATGAGGATTTAAGTGGGGGGCACTGGAAAGACAAAAAGATAGGACTCCCCAAGGTCAGGGCAGTGACGCAGACGGGCAGGACCCAGCAAACAAACCAGCGGTTGGTTCCCTTTCCATCACCTCGCAAAAGAAAGTGGCATTCTCCCTGCCTTGTAAATGGAGAGTCTGACACATCCAAGGGTACCTGCTAGCAATGAAAAAGCCAACGTAACCCAAGAGCCCTAGACTGATTTTTGGTTCCTCTGAAAATTAGCTTTTGCCAGATGCTAAATTCAGTTCAAGGTCTATTGAGTAGTTTCTCTGTTTCTGACATTGTTAGGCACCGTGGAGAAATGATAATAAACAATTCTGCTCTGTGTTTGCTAATTCTTAGGAGAGGCAAGACACAAACACTTTTGACGGTTAAGAAATAATACACCCAAATGTCCACTAATTGATGACTAGAATGTGGTATATTGGGACAATGCAATGGTATTAGGCCATTAAAAGGAATGAGGTCCTGAGACATGTTACAATATGGAAGGACCTTGAACACATTATGCTAAGTGAAAGAAGCCAGTCACAGAAGACCATGCATTGCACGATTCCGCTAATACGAGATACCCAGAACAGGCAAACCTATAAAGACAGAAAGCAGATCAGCAGATCAGTTACTTAGATTGGGGACGGGGCTGGCCGATGGGGAGTAACTGCTCTGGATATGGGATTTATTTTGGCAGTAGTGAAAATATTCTAAAGTTAGATTGCATTGATGGTTGCACAACTCTGAATATACTAAAAACCATTGAATTGTACACTCTAAATGGGTGACTTTTATGGTACATGAATTATCTCTGATGTTTAAAAAAGGAACCATACAAGATGGTATGGAATTGAGTATGAATTTGTGTGGTTCAGACAGTCACTGTTTTACAGAAAATTAGAGACGTTCCTGTAGGCAGAAGGCTTCCTGGACATTTTCAAAGGCAGCTTTTGAGTAGTCTGCACAGGAGGCCCCTTGAGAGAGACTGACCGTCTTCCGTAGAGTAAGCTCTGTGGGGCAGGGGTGCACCCGCGGTGGAGCACAGCCAGACGGAGTGGCAGGCCCTGGGAGGGGAAGGAAGCCCCTTGCACAGAGAAGGTGGGAGCAGGCTGGGGGACTGCAGGCCAAGCGGGGATGTGGGCCTTATCTACACACAGCACAGGCTCTTGATCAGAAGTGGGTCTGAACTCCAGCCCGGGAGGCCACTTAGGAGATTATCCCAAGATGCTACTGGGAGGTGGTGAGGACAGAGCAAACCCGAGACATGTTTGGAAGGGAATCGAGGTCTAAACAGTTGTGTCAGGAGAAAAGGAAGCTGGCTCTTGAGGCTTTCTGTAGAAGAGTTTGTCTGGCGTCCTGGTTGGGGCAGGCGGGAGGCGAGCATCTCGGCGGGGCTGGCACACTTGCGTGTGCTTCTGGGGGTGCCCGCGGGTGCTCCTTGCCGTGTTCTTGTCTTCGGGAGCTACTTCCCCTCTCTGGGTCCTGTCACAATAGGCTGTGTGATGCCACAGGCTGAGATGTTGAGTTTACTGTTGACCAACGGCTGGTACAGATCACGAGCTACAAAATATTTAATCAGTGAGGTCACTTGAGGGAAATGAGACGTGATCAATAGGAGTGTCTGCTGTTTGCCTTGAGTCGAGTCCCCACTGCTTTCCTTCTACCTACATTTGGCAAAACCACAAACCGTTAAAAATGGGAAGAATAACCTTTTCCAAGACCCACAAAAGCTTATTTTAGTCCGTTGTGTGGTCTGCTCACCTTTGTGGTGTTCCCCTTGACCGGATTCACAAAAATAAATGTGTGCTAGCCTCGTGGTTTTGAACCCTTTTAAAGCAGTGCCCCCACTTTCGATGACTCAGCATCTAAGATGGGGGGGGGACCCGCAGGTTGGCATGGGCCAGGCCCCCCGCCTTGGCTGCGCAGCCACACCCTCTGTTGTGGCCCCAAGGCCCCTGTGAGGAAAACCATTGTTAGTCTCTGGTACCTTCCGATGCTCCCGACACCCGTTTTCGTTTGCAAGGTTTCTCATGGAAACCTGTTGAGCGCTTCAGAAAGATGCTCATTAAAATGGGGGGAGGGGTAGGAAAGAGAAAAGCGAGTCAGGAGAGGAAGTCAGTGACAAGGTGTGTCTTGTGTTCAGCGAGCATTTATTGAGCAGCTCTTGGGTGCCAGGCATGGGACTAGGTGCTGGAGATTTGAAGGTAAATCTGATGCATCCCCACCCTCGGAACTCAGATGAGAAAGGGGACTGTCCTTCAGCATGGCAGGTGTGGTGGGAGGGCACCTCATCCAGACTGGGCATGAGAAACAGCTTCCAGGCGGGGTTGTCAGCCATGGAGGTGGGCAGCGGGAGCCGGGACAGGCAGGGGCTGCGGGAAGCGTGCTGGGTTTCACCTGCGCACATCGGGGCCCAAGGCAGTTCCCTGTGAGCCTCTCCAAGGCAGTTGGGTGGCACCAAGCGAGAGGCACTTAGTGCGTTCTTTTGGTGGAGGAAGATGTCAGGAGTATGTTGGAGCATCCTAATGGGAAATGGAAACTTCATTTCCCCGTCATGGGAGAAGAGGGGCTGTTCAGGAGACAGGTCATGAGTGCCAGGATGCTGACTGCAAAGCATGTCCAGGTCACTGCCTTCCTGGTGGCAGGAGAGGCACAGGTGCTGTCGGCAGCATTGGATCTCATGAGCAGTGGACGACCTGGGTGGACCCAGAGCTGCTGCCGCAGAGAAGAGAGGTGATGGAGGAATGGAGAGTGGACGTGTGTGACAGTGTGTTGGGGGAGGGGAAGGTGGGGACAGGAGTGGGTGAGCGGGCAGCAGGACGAGGAGAAAAGGACCTTTGTGTGTAACAGCTTCTGCTGCCAGCACAACTGGGGTTTGCGGCAGCTGCAGGCCTCCGTTCCTAATATAGTCAAAAGCTCCGAATCCTCTGGCTGGACACCTGTTAGCTCGAGGTTCCCCTGAGCTGACCTCTCCTTGGGTTGTCTGTCTCACTATGCATCTGCCTCGCTGGGGGGACAGACCCCCACCCTCGCCGAGTCACGTGAACCCGGAGCCCCCGGTTGACAAATTGCCTTCTCTCAACTTGGGTGGGGGCTGCTGGATGTTTGAGGGGCGAGGTTTGTTCAACTGTTACTATGCAAAAGGGAAGGCTGACCTAGCCAAAAGGAGATAGGGCGTTCCTCTGGGAAGTGGACATTCTTGGCAAGGAACAGAGCGTGTGGGGAGGACACTGTGGATGTAAAGAAGTCCTGGGGAGGGCCGACCTCTCCCCCTAGGATGGAGGGAAATGAAACTGATCTGCTTAATGCTGCTGCAGCCGCTTCCTAACTTTGCCTCTTTCTTCTTTGACCTTTGGAGGAGCGGGGTGGAAGAGAAGAGATGGGGGTTCCCAGGTAGCCAGCCATTTCCGACTGACCCTGTACTCCTGTCCCCACCCCCCCAGCTCTGTAGCCCGAGCAGGTGATGCCAGGGCGTTGCAGCTCAGTGTGGCTGCGTAATGCCCTTTATCTCTCCCCTCCCTCCTTCTCCCGGTCCTTGGTTCCTCTTCCCGGCCCCTGTGGTGGCTGCAGCCCAGCCCTGGGGAGCCCCTGTGGAAGTGGAGTCCTTCCTGGTCCACCCTGGCGACCTGCTGCAGCTTCGCTGTCGGCTGCGGGACGATGTGCAGAGCATCAACTGGCTGCGGGACGGGGTACAGCTGGTGGAAAGCAACCGTACCCGCATCACAGGGGAGGAGGTGGAGGTGCGGGAGTCCGTGCCTGCCGACTCCGGCCTCTACACTTGCGTGACCAGCAGCCCCTCGGGCAGCGACACCACCTACTTCTCCGTCAATGTCTCAGGTTGGTAGCAAAGCCCTGACTTCGCCCTGTATCTGGATCTACCTCTCCAACCCTCTCTGCCAGCTTCAGGGGAGGTGAACCTCCTCCCCTTCCATGATTTGCCCCGACTCTGCTTCAGAAACTGCTGCCCACTAACACTGCTCCCTGCCCGCGTGTGGCTTAGCTCTCAGAGGGGTGACCAGGTGGGGCAGTCCCCAGGCCAGAGATCTGGGGCTTCCAAGATCTTCCTTGGAGGTGACACTGATGCTTTTGGGTGTTAAGACCCCGTGATGTTCCCACCACAGCTTGCTCAGATCTCCGGGATGCTTAGTGATGCTCATCTAGCTTCCATCCTGTCACTCCCTTGCCATTTGGACTTGGTACTCGACTTAGTGGTTACAGCCCCAGAACATGGTAGGAAAGGACCCAGGTGCACCGCCATGTCCACAGGCTTTATGGAAACAACTGTTCTCCAGGTTCTGGAGCTGTGCTGGGGGTGGGGCGGGAAGGCGGCAGGTAGGCAGGGAACCCCAGGGCTCGGTGACTTTGTGAATCTGCTGTTTTTAGAGTGAGACTTTCAGAAAACCAGGAACAAAGGAAGTAGAGCTGAGAGTTTCTTTATGCCCTCATGCACCCCAGGGTCCCAACTTGGCACCTCCTCCTAGGCATCATTTAGAGCCTACCCCCCGACCAAGGGACTTGCCTTCTTTATTTCCCTCCAGAGCCCCCAAAGTGCTAGGAAGGGCTGGATAAAGATCCAGCCTGAACCTTGATTGGTGACCACATGTGTGTCAAGCCTGTTCTTACAAGGGGTGGCTACTTGTTGGGGAGAGGTGGTGGCTCTTTATTTCCCTCCAGAGCCCCCAAAGTGCTAGGAAGGGCTGGATAAAGATCCAGCCTGAAACTTGATTGGTGACCACATGTGTGTCAAGCCTGTTCTTACAAGGGGTGGCTACTTGTTGGGGAGAGGTGGTGGCAGCTGCAGGCTGTGGGGTGGGCTCCCTGCCTGCTCTGGTTAAGAAGGGCATCCCCCAATCCTTAGCGGATGCATGCTGGAAAAATTCTGACTGTAGATTGTCCAGCCCATGTCTTTGGAAATATCTTCTAGCCACAGTGTGCCTAGACCTGCCTGGGTTTCTCAATGGCTGACAGTCCAAAGAAAGACACAGGTTCCACAGCAGCTAGTTCTGAGACCCAGCACATCTAGGTGGCATGTGAGTTGAGGCAGTGCCTCTGAGTGCAGGGTGGATTAAATTAAAGAAGAACAGCTGACCCTGATGGAACCACCCAGTGTGAAGGCTTCTAGGCAGAGAGGGGAAGTGCATTGGGTTGGGGGCAGAAGGGGACAAGCACAGGACCATGCAGTTCTTAAGCAGTTTCTCTCCCACTGGGAGGTGGCCACTAAGGAAAAAGCGGGACGTGGTGGTGGGTGGGGGGATTGGTGTTCTTCATTGGTGTGTACCAGCCTGAATGGGTGACTGTTGATATGTTTGGAAATCTTCGAGGTGCCTTGGGGGGACCTCAGTGCCCCTTCTTCTTCCCATAGATGCTCTCCCCTCCTCAGAGGATGACGACGATGATGATGACTCCTCTTCAGAGGAGAAGGAGACAGATAACACCAAACCAAACCGTATGCGTGAGACACTGTTTCCTACCTTACTGCCCTGCGATCTGGCGGTTGGGTTTAAGAGGGAAGGGGGAGGAGAGGGCACGTGGGGTCATGACGCCCAACTGCGATCCCAGTAAATGTTCTGATAAACACCTGGCATTGGCCACAGGTGTTGGGCAGATGGGCAGGGCACTTCCAGGTCCTGGCCTGGGCCCTCCCTCCTGAGCCTGACCACTCCCCCCACCCCGCCCGTCTCTTGGCTTTCCCCGGGCAGCTGTGGCTCCATATTGGACGTCCCCAGAAAAGATGGAAAAGAAGTTGCATGCAGTGCCAGCTGCCAAGACCGTGAAATTCAAATGCCCTTCCAGTGGGACGCCCAACCCCACGCTGCGTTGGTTAAAAAATGGCAAAGAATTCAAACCTGACCACAGGATTGGAGGATACAAGGTATGTGTACGCGTATCTCTACGAAAGTTAGGGTAAGCGGAATGAGAGAAGCTGAGTTGGAAAATCCTTATTATATTCCTCTAATTGTTTTTAGTAATGTTTTCTAACTCTAAAGGGAATGTGCTTTTTATTATTTTTTTTATTTTATTTTTTTTTTTTTTGTCTTTTGTCTTTTTCCGTGTCTGGCAACGGATCGCAACCCTCAGTGTTGCCCCCGTACCGGACCGGGGACCGGCAACGGGATCGCAACCCTCGGTGTTGCTCCCGCGCCTCGCTCAGCCAGTGAGCGGGAACCGGTCTGCATGTGGGATCCGAACCCTCGGGCGGGAGCACTGCCGCGCTTCCCAAGCAGCGCACTATCCATTGTGCCACCGGGCTGGCCCCGGGAATGTGCTTTTTAAAATTCCAACTACAAAAAGTACAAATAAAATTTTAAAATCTTTTCAGTCTTTTTCTGTGTATATAGTTTGTACATAATTGATCACATTGTGTATATAATTTATCTTGTCATTTGTTAGGAATGTGTTGTATTTCAAGCATGAGTGTTTGAAAGATAATTTTTCAAGGCTACATAAGATTCCATTATTAAAATATCCCAGAATTCAATGAACTATTTTGTGGCTATTAGGTATTTTCTAGTTTTTCACTATTATAAATAATGTTGGAGCAAATATCTTCATCAGCATTTTTAAACGTGCTTCCTTAGGACAGATTGCTAGAAGTGAAATCAGAGCATAAGCATGTTACCCAATTACTTTCTTAAAAGAGAAAACTAATTCACTCTTCAGTAGCAGAGCATCAGAATGACAAGTTCATGATACCTTTGCCAACAAATCTGACAGATAAAAGTATAGTCGTCCCCCTTACTCGAGGCTCCACTTTCCTCCGTTTCAATTATCTGTAGCCAAATATAGGTGAGTACAGTACAATAAGATATTTTGAGAGAGACGACATTCACATAACTTTTATTACAATATATTTTTATAATTGTTCTATTTTATTATTAGTTATTGTCATTAACCTCTTGTGCCTAATTTATAAATTAACCTTATCATAGGTGTGTGTGCATAGGACAAAACATAGTGCCGTCATCTCTCGGTGTCCATGGGGGATTGGTTCCAGGACCCCCATAGATACGAAAATCCGCAGATGCTCAAGTCCCTAATATAAAAAAAGGCACAGTATTTGCATATAACCTACGTGCCTCCTCCCATGTGCTTTAAATCACCTCTAGATTACTTTTAATACCTAACACAAGGCCTGCACATGACTTCATTCATGTGAGTTCAACATAGTACTTTGCACACAACAAATTCAAGTTTTGCTTTTTGGAACTCTGAGGAATTTTTTTCCCAAGTATTTGTAATTTGTGGTCGGTTGAATCCATAGTTGCCAAACCCATGGATAGGGAGGGTCAACTATACTGTACGAATAGTGTTCAGTACTATCCACGATTTCAGGCATCTGCTGGGTGGGGGGTCTTGGGACATGTCCCCCCCAGATAAGGATGACTACTGTATTTCATTGTTCTCTTGTGTATTTTGCTTATTAACAAAGTTAGAATTTTCGTATGTTAATAAGAAATTTTCATTTCTTCTTGTGCAAATTGTGTTATATCCTTTGCCCATTTATATTTGCAGGAAGAATGTCTTTATCATGATCCTTTCTTGAGAGTCTCTGATCATCTTTATAATCCCAGTTTCACTCTCATCTCAGCTAGCTTCCCTTTTTCCCATTAATCCTGTATTTAAAAAGTAGAGGGAATCCTAAAGAATAGGGAAACATTCAAGCACTTACTGAATGCAAGGCACTGTGCTTAGATGGTACAAGACATCGTTTCCAGAAAGACATTCCAGCCTACTAGGAGGGCCGATGTCATGAAAAGCAGACTGTGATCTGTGCTGCAGTAGAGGTCCAGAGGGAGGGGTGAGCACAGTTCTGACCAGAGACTGGGCTGGAGGAGATGGTTTTTGAAATGAGATGTCAAGGACAGACAGGGCCAGCTCTCAGCAGGAGAGCCGTCCCGGGCACAGGACTGGCATGGGCAGAGGTACAGAGTTGGGAAGGTTCCTGATGTATTAGGGGCAGTTTGCAGATGTCACATTTGTGCAGACCACAGATGGCCCTGAGTGACACAGGGACTTGAACACCATGGGGAAGGCTTCAGCATCCTCACGACCATCTACCGGTGGGCCGAGGACGGGGCTCTCTGCCTCATCCAGGCAGGCTGCAGGGCGGGGCCACCGGCTGTGGGGGAGCACATGGTACCAGCATTCCCATGTGACTTCTGCCCACATTTTCCTCCAGACCGTCAACAGAGCCCTTTGGTGTGTTTCCCTTCAGGTCCGTTACGCCACCTGGAGCATCATAATGGACTCTGTGGTGCCCTCTGATAAGGGCAACTACACCTGCATTGTGGAGAATGCATATGGCAGCATTAACCACACCTACCAGCTCGATGTTGTGGGTAAGCAGGCAGAGGCAGCAGGAGGGCAGGGCAGGGGTGTGGAGAAAACAGCCTCGGTGTCCAGCTTTCCTAGCGATGGAGTCGTGACATTGTTTGTCATTTCCTGACTTTGTCACCTTAAGCAGGTCACTCCCCGCTTTGAACCTCATCTTTCTTATCTGTAGAGTGAAGATGTTGAGACAGGAGTTCATCTCAAAGCTGCCACTGTGAAATGGAAGGTGCTGTTGACAGTCTGTTCTGAGGGACGTGGCTGGTGCAGTGACCCTCAGTGTAGCACTAATAGTAGCCATTGCTAATGAATGCCAGCAGTATGCTGGGCTCTTTAAGTACATGCCAGCGATTCTCACAGCACCCCTGCAAAGGTGGACACTGTTAGACTAGCTGTACACAAGAGTGCACTGAGGCTCCGAGAGGCCAACAACTTGTTAATGCAGAAGTCCAGGCCTGTGCTGACTCCAGAGTATCACAGGAGACTCTAGGAAGAATGTCATGCCTCTCAGGGCTGTTACTGCAGCCTGTTCCTTCTAGAAGTTGTGAGTCTTGTTCCCTAGAGATCTTAAGGTGCATCACAGATGGCATTCTGTCTTGGTTTTGATGATATGGAGTAATAGGAGGCTGTGGTCCAGGGGTTCTGGGGTAGGGTCTGTGATTCCACATTTCTAACACACTCCTGGGTGATGCTGGTGCCACTGCCCCTGGACCATGCCTCAGCCAGCAGGAGTCTAAGTGACTCGCTGTCATTTTGGCTAAGGAGAAGTAGGCTGTGCTGTGGTCTGGGGTGTGACTAAGTTATAGAACACTCCATTAAGGCAGGAGAGACTTACATGCCTGTAAATATGGATATGCCTGGGGTAGGAGGTTCCCGATAGCTTAGGGCCTGAAGAGAGTGTCCCTTCTCCCAGCTCAGGTTGGGGGTCTGGGGCTCAGCAGAGCCATGGGGAAGTTCACTGACCCTCACTTGGAAGGCCAAGGGGGTACTGGTGTGGGTGTACCTCTCTTCAGCCGTCTGTGGGATGCCCTCAGTCAGCATCCCAACCAGAACCAGGTGCGGTAGGGCCTGATGAGCCTCTCCTCACCTTCTGCCCTAGAGCGGTCCCCTCACCGGCCCATCCTGCAGGCAGGGCTGCCCGCCAACAAGACGGTGGCCCTGGGCAGCAATGTGGAGTTCATGTGCAAGGTGTACAGCGACCCACAGCCTCACATCCAGTGGCTAAAGCACATCGAGGTGAATGGGAGTAAGATCGGTCCAGACAACCTGCCCTACGTCCAGATCTTGAAGGTAATCTTGGCCCCAGTCGTCATGGGCCAGTGTGCGGGGTAGGAGACCAGGGTCTCCTAGGGTCCCTGTGGTCAGGCTCAGTGCCGGGATTAGGACTCTTCCTTACCCTTTAGGCGCATACTCCATCTTAGCAGAGATCTGGCCACTTTCCCCAGGACTAGTGACAAAGATCACACACTGGAGGTGATTTGGGAATGGAGGGCAGGGGGAGGGGGCAGTGCTGCCTTCCACAGAGCTTTGAGAGGGACTCTGCTGGGGCTTTGGGCCAGACACTCAAGGAGGCATCTGGACTCCTGCTTTTTCACTGCCCAGAACCAAAGCCTTTCCCGCGAGCACGTCCTAGTCTCAGCCTGATTCCCAAATGACGGTCTTTCTGGCAAATGGGGTGAATAAGGGCACAGCTTAAGTAGAGCTGGAAACGCAAATGCCACGTGGAAGTTGTAAGCAGCATGGGGAGTAATGGCACTCTCTTCCTTTCCCTCTCACTCCCAGACTTCCACTGTCCCCGAGTGCTCCATTAATCCAGGGAAGGCAATTGCCTAAATCTCCAACAGGAAGTAACCAGAAGCTGGGAAAGTTGTTTACCTCTTTGTCCCAGAGTTAGGCCTCATCCTGCCCTGGCTTGGCTGTCCCAAAGGTTTACTGGCCGTCCCTTCTCTTCGCTATTAGTGCTGAAGCTGCTCTGTAGCAGGTGGGCCTGTTGCTTTGGGAGGAGTGGGTTTAACAGAAACAGAACATTTCATTTGTGGCAGTGATATATTTTTTTTCAATCAAGTGCTTTGGACTTTTGAAGTCAACTTGTTTTGTCCTGCTAAAAAGGGAAAGATGACAAATCACACTTAGTATCTCCCCTGCCTTAGCTCCCTGGGCCTGCCTGGAAGTTACATGGGAGCTAAGTACGGCCACATCGCAGCGTTTGCCCAACTGACTGGTGTGTCGTTGGTTTGTTCCAGCATTCGGGGATTAATAGCTCGGATGCGGAGGTGCTGACCCTGTTCAATGTGACAGAGGCCCAGAGCGGGGAGTATGTGTGTAAGGTTTCCAATTATATTGGTGAAGCTAACCAGTCTGCGTGGCTCACTGTCACCAGACCTGTGGCAAAAGGTAATGCGGAGATGGATGGGACCCTGTGCTGGGAATTTGACTTAGGCCCCAAGCTGCTGGGGCAAGTGGGGCAGCCAGCGCCGAACTCTCCCTGTTACCCTGCTGTATCTCTAGTGCCCAGGGCCATGGAAAAATACCTGGCCGGGAGGCTGGTTTGGTTCGGTTCTGTGTTGGTGTTTGCTGGCTCCCTCTGTGCCTTTTGTGTGTTCCCTGGCTGTGTGTGTGTGTGTGTGTGTGTGTGTGTGTGTGTGTGTGTGTGTGGACTTGTGGGGACACAGTCTGACTGTGTTAAGAGTGATCCTTCAGGGGCCAGCCCGGTGACGCACTGCTACAGTGCGCCACTTGGGAGTGTGCCGGCGCTCCCGCCGAGGGTTCGGATCCCACATACAGACCGGCCGCTCACTGGCTGAGCGAGGTGCGGGCTGC